GTAGCCTAAGTGTAAATTAACAATTGTGAAACATTGTTTTAGGTAATCATTCTTTGGAGTTGATTTTGGCATTTTCATGTAGCTATTGTTTAGTTAGGAGTGACCTTAGGGCTTAGGACTTGTGTTCCGTAAACTCCAACTAAGGAGGTAGGCTAGTCTGTTCTGACAAATGATATTATCATTCCCTAATCCCTATTATCATATCAGCCAATTAATATTATCTTTTCTTATTACCATATTAGACTAATTAGTCATATCATATTAGTTCATGATGCTCTTAAACAGCTCTTTAGTCATATTGTCAAATTTGTCATTCCTCAAAGATCATAATCAGTATGATTATAACCACAACGGGGCACATGACTAGCAGACTAGGTATATCCTTGGAGCTTGGAGGCTTGGAACCTTTGGTCCTTGGCTAGAGTAAAGATCAGTGTGACATTGAATATAACTTATGAGACTAATGAGAGAGAGTTAACTGAGTGGATTAACAAGACAAATCAAATTGCAGATGCATAAAACCATTGTGTGGCCAGTGGCCCAGTGGCAGCACTAGATTTAGAGAGCACCACCATTATCAGATTATCATTGTTACTATTTATTGAATTGAAATTTTGAATTGTGATTGAACTTAATTGTGGAATTTGAATTTGAGCTTGGATATGAATTATGCATATGAATAATGAATTTGAGCATTGGGAACTCACAACTCAGTAGTGTTTTATTTTACTCTGAGAAGTTTAAAAGTAACAAATGTCATATTCATGTTCTAATGCTCACCCTTGTTCTCAGGTCTTAGTACTGTAGTCTGTACATGAAGAAGAAACACTTGAATTAATAAATCATCAAGCTGAGTGCATCAATCTCCTGATTAACCTGATCCTGATATCAGAGTTAGAGATCCGTCAATCAGAAATTGTCCAAACTGCCTCATTTAACTCCAGTACCAAAACACTTCAGTATCAAAGATCCCAAAGTCCAAAGCTTTAGCTCTCCCCATCCATTTGATACTAGCTACTGCAAGTGAACTGTGAATATAGTGACTAGAATGCCTAAACGCAAGAAACGTATTGTCAACTTGCTCTTGGCCAGGAAAGCCAAGAGAGAGAAAGGAAAAGAAGGATGTGGAGAAAAGGAAGTTGTGATTCCTCCCATCATGACAGGTCATGGTCACCGCCATCACCTCTTGCAGATTGAAGCCGGTGGTATGGGTGAGCCATTGACTCCTCTAAATGCTGCTACTAATTCCCCTAATGATTTTAATTGTCTTGTCCCTTTTTCCCTGCTTGAGGATCTCATTACAGCCATTCCTTGCTCTGAATGTGATGGGCCTAGCAGTCTATCTGTTGTCAGAAATCATACTGTGCCCACTCTTACAAGGGAATGTTTCCAGTGTGATGCTAAGGCAACAGTTTTCACTCCAAAGAAGGTCACTGGCATTGATGGCAAGGTTTCGGGTTTCACTATGGATAACCTGAGTTGTGTATTCCATTCCTTGATGAACGGCGATGGCTTTGCTGGGTGCCAGAAAACCTGTGCTTCATTTTCGCTGAAAGGCTTTTGCAACACATCATTCTACAACCATGCTTCATTCCTGTATAGGCAAATGAGAGCGCTTTTCGTTTCAAAGCAGCGTGAAGCTATTGAAGCTGTGCGACGCTACTACCAGACTTTGGAAGGTAGAGATGGCAATGGACTTCTTGACATTGATGTCAGCTTTGATGGCACGTGGATGACGAAAGGTCCCATGTCGCATGTTGGCATTGGTATTGTTGTTGAGAGCAACACAGGCTTCGTGATTGACCTCGAAGTCATTTCCAACTTCTGCCAAAGCTGCCAAGGGAAAGAAGCTTCTCTACCACCTGATGAGTTAGCCAAATGGAAGCAACAACATCATGCAAGGTGTAAGAAGAACTTTGATGGCAAGTCTGATGCTTTTGATAATGAGGCTGCAGTGAGGCTTTGGAGCAGGTCGACTCAGCTTGGCCTTCGCTATGTCACCTTCCTGAGCGATGGGGACTCATCGGCATTCAAGGCTGTCTGTGAGTTGAATGACTGTAAAGGCCCCTATGATGTCCCTGTTGTGAAGGAAGATTCGACAATGGCCGGGAAGCAAGTCATGAGGAGCATCCATTCTAAGATCTGGTTGAGGTGCTGCCAGGAGAAATTTGTTTCAATGGAGCGTGTTCTCTTTGTTGCTCAGGGCACTGTCATGGACCATAATTTTGGATATGTGAATGGAAACCTCCTTCTAGCTCTTGGCTTGCAAACAACTGACTTCCTGACCGCACTCAAGGAAAAGGATTCAAAATTAGCAACTCCAAGTCGTAAGCCAACAAAGAAGCGCTTGGCAACTCCAAGCACTTCATACGGCGCACAGAAATTCTAAATTTCTTCCTCCTTCCCTTTTCTTTATTATTATTCATGACGCAAAACTGGACTACAATGAGTCATGTTGGGCGCATGATGATACCCTCGTTTATGAGTAATAGGCTTTGTAATTTTAAATTACAGAGCCGGGGATCCAGAGCCTTGCAATGGATCATAATAAAAAAAATTGTAACAATTTTTTCTATTTGGTCTCTCCTGAAAACTTTGACTTTTCTAATTTGCAAACCTATTTCCTCCTATGATTTTCAAGCTACAGCATTGAGATATACCATTTGATTTGCAGAGAAGAGATCTAGAGAATGGTTGTACCTTTTTTGTCATTTCATTATAGTTTGGATTATATTTTGCAAAAATAGGAAGGTGGGAATAAAAAATTGACAAAAAATACCCCCCACCCTCCAAAATGAGAATTTCAAATAAAGCTATGACCAATTGCTAGATATGGTCTTTATGAATCAGATGATATGTGTCTTGATGTTGTAGCGTGAAAATCCTAGAAGGAGATAGATTTCTACAGTACCACCTTTTTGTAGTTTTTTATGAATTTCATGTTTTCTTTCATTTTTTCAGAAATGTGCACCAACACAAAAGTCTAAGATTTCTGTTTTACAAATTTGCACCAAGTTTCATAATGATCCACCCATAAATAAAAAGTTTTTTTTAACCAGTAAAAAACCAGATGCTTACTTTAACACGTCTAAAAACCTTGTTGCAGTTGGAAAGTAAAATTGGGGTCAACTCCCTGGGTTTTACTGCGTATCTTTTGCCAACAATAACTGAAGTTCCCACAACTAAAAACGCGGAATCATACTGTATATCCATTTGGTACCACATTCATTTGATTTGACACTGCATTTATCTGATTTATTTGATAATATATTCATTTGTAATTTTGTTATGCATCAAAATGGTGTGCCCTAAGCACCTGATTTGAAACTTTCTTGTAATGTTTTTAAGACAAGGTTTTCTTGCTCACAGCACAAGCACTTTTCCAGTTACCTGATGAAACCCCAGACCTGGATTGGTTTTGCGCAGCACAGCACCGGAGAAAGTCACTTGCATTTGTGGCAAAAGTACGTTTGTGGGTAATGCTCTCAGAGAATTTAAGTATTTTTTCTTTGGTATTCATGACGTAAGTTTCATAATCAAAACATACTGATAATTAGAATTCATTTAAGATACAGCTGCTTTCTTCCTCTGGGTTTTGCTGGTTCTGGTTGTTTGTTCTTTTAGTGTTGGTCATCTTTTTATGTGTCATCTTTTTTTTTTCTCCCACTGTAGGGGGCAAGTTATCATTGGTACCTGATAGTTCAGAATGGCTGCCTCTGGTTGCCTTAATGCATCAAGCTCAAGGTTTGGCCCATCTGCAACCTCTGAAGTAAGCTGGTGAAGGGGACATGATGAGGGAACTGTTAGAAATTTCCACATTCCTTAGGATCTAAATTTGTTTTTTTTCTCCATGCCTATCGTTAGGCTTGGGTTTGTAAATAGTAAGAGTTGGCTGAAAGACTTGTTGATGGAAACATCCGTTTAATTTTGCTCCGTAGGAGTGTATTAAGCCATTCCTTCCTAATTTCTGTATTTAAGTTTGAGTGATCACTCTTTGTTTTTCGTTTTATTTATTTTTGTTTATTATGCATGTTCGTGCTTTCTTTGATTAGGATAGGACCGACTCCAGTGTTGTATTTGGGCTTTGCCTTTTCTTGTGGTATGACCACTTTAACTTTTGAGCTTTGGCTTTTTACTTAAGATAAATATTTGTTCCTAATCTTTTGGGAAGGCTTAATGCTTTCCTAAGCTCAACTTGCTAGTTAATTATTGGAGTCTGTCCTCCCTTTCTACTGTCATAATTTCCCTTTACATGGCCTATTTACATGCCTCTTAAAGTTGCAGCTTAACCGCTTGGTGGCTAAAGATTCTAAGGTGGGTCCGTGGCTGTTATAGTGACTTATTTCGTCTTACATTTATGTTCATAAAACTTATGATTTGATTACCAACTATCTAACGGCTATTTATTCTTTCTATTCGATAGAATAACTGCGTATCCGATGGGGAACAACATTCATTCTATTTTGGGTGACTTTCAGCGTCACTGTTTGCGATTGAAAGAGCCTTTCGTACATCACGGTGTGTAAAACTTGTAATGATTTGCTTATATGAATGTATTAGATTGAAACTCATTGCGACACTGGAATACTACTACTGGATTGCAGAATTGTAAAATTTATGAGATATTTCTTGCTTCTACAGTTATGTTGGGCCGGGTTTATTCGTCGGCACAACGGCGATAAACTGTATTGGAACCGCTGCCAAGCGTCACTTTTCGCGACTTGGTTCAATTCTAGATTTTTGTGAATATGTCTGCTTTCTCAAGATTTGGACCAGTCATCTCCGAAATAAGTTCCATTTTGTTTACTGTTTTTTGTATCAAGCCTAACATAATTATTCTTAAAATCTGTGTTACTAATCTTTTTGCTAATCATTGTAATATTTAACTGTTCATTCCTGAGTCTCCATTAGAATGTCGCAGGTCGAAATGTCTGACAGCGACCCCACTTCTGAGTCCAGCGCCTCTTATGTGAGGAAGCGCGCTGCGTATAAGGGTAAGATAACCTTAGCTCTAAAGAAGTTGGTGGTTGCATCTGTTGACCGTGAGACTAAAGGCATTCTAGTTGCGCAGATCAGGGCCTATCTTTCTGAAATTGATGCTTTAGATAACTTGATTAATGAAATTTCTGAGCCTGCCATTGATGTACTTGAAGAGCAATTGGATTACGCAGTTGACGTTAGACGGAAGCTTGCATTGTATGACGAACCTGCCCCTCACGATGGTCAACGTGTTGTTGAGAAGGTAGCTGAAGTCAAATTGCCTGCTCTTCAATGTTCCACTTTTTCTGGCGAAGGCACTACTAGTCTTGAGTATTCAAACTTTCTCCAGCAATTCAGTAACGTCATTGATTGCCGTCAATCACTTGCTGATGCGGCCAAATTAACTTATCTTAAAACCTATTTGAAAGGGTACGCCCTCTAAATTATTGATAATCTCTCAATTAACGATGAAAACTATTCCGTTGCTCTGCAAATGCTTGAGAGAGAGTTCATTGACCGCAAAGCCCTTGTTAACGATTTAATTCAGAAACTCTTTGATCTTACTCCCAAGTTCCATCCTGACTATTTGGGTACCAAGATTTATATTAATGAGATTCGAAGCACCGTTAGTGACCTTAAAAAGTGGGGCTGTGATTTGATGGAAGGGAGCGGTAACACTATGCTGTCCGTTCTCATGTTCAGTAAATTGCCCCATCCTGTGAAACAGGAATTCGGACGCAGGTTTGATAACTTCCCCTCTTGTGATATAATTTTTGATAACTATCCTGAAGTTATTAGAACCTTGACTCTGAAAGATAAATCTAGAGATAAACCTAAACCAGATTCAAATGCTGTTAAACCCAAATCATTTCCACCTAAGCCTACGTATCAAAACGCAGGTATTGCCTCGCAGTCTAAAGATTTCACACGTAAAGTTTGTAAGTTTTGCTCTGCTCCTGACCATTCCATGATGAAGTGTACCAAATTTCCAACCTTACAGAGTAGGTTAGATAGGTGTAGGGAGTTGCATCTTTGCACCAATTGCTCCAGCTCCAAACATCAGAGTCTGGAATGTAAAACCAAGCTAGATTATGATTGTGTCATTTGCAAAAGTAAGAATCACATTTCTGCTTTGTGCCCCAAGTATCAGGTTAGCCTTCAGAAGAACTGGTGTTTAAACTCGTCTTCTGGTAAGGATGATCATCTTTTGCCTACCATTACCGTCACCCTTTCTCGTGGCAAACTGTCTACTCCCGTGAGGTGTTTGATAGACACAGGGTCCCAGAGATCTTATGTTAGTGCTGCTTGTTTAGATAGGATAGGATTTCCTAAGGGTGCGGGTGAGAAGGATTTTGTAGTTAGTTCTTTCCTTGATAGTGGGGTACGTAAATTTGCTGAAGCTAGCTTGTGTCTGAATTTGAATGATGGGTTGGGCGAATTTCAACTTCCATTTTTGATAGATAGGAACTTTGCTATAGAGTTTAGAGTAGATTTGTTAGATGTGGCAGTTAATCACCTCAAGAAGTCAGCCACTCTAGCTGACGTTGCATTTCAAAACCCTAGTAATGTAGTAAAGCTAGAAGGACTTTTGGGTGTTGATGCCATCCGATTCTTTAGAGAGTTTAGGTTAGTGCAAGTCAACAATAAAGGTTCTGCTTTTGCTTATTCTGGGGGCATTATTCCATTTGGTAGCATAGATAGTCTCTTGCCCAAAGATGTAAAGTGTCGCTCAGACCAGCTTCGACCTTCCAAGGATAAAGCTGAAGGTATCCCAAACTCTTCCGTCGTAAATTTTGTGCTGAATCCTTTAGGAGATCAGTTCGATCCTGTCCACAGCGTAGTACAGGATAGTTCAGTCGAAGGTCGCTTAGACAGATTGTTTTCTGTTGAGGCTTTAGGTCTGAAGGAAGACGAATATTCAGATTACGATGCCCAGCAAATTGCTAAATTTGAATCTTCAATTGAAAATCGCAATGGCGAATATTTCGTAGATTTGCCCTGGATTGAGGACAAGGTTAGTGCCGTTAGGTCTAATTTCAGTTTAGCTAAGGCTGTTCTAGATAGAGTCCTTAAGAAGTTGCATTCCTCAGGTACGTTCCATGCATATAATGACGTTTTCCTCCAGCAGCTGCAGGAGGGTATTCTTGAAGAGATTGACCTAGATGCTGTTGATCCTTCACAGCATGTATGGATCCCTCATAGAGCGGTCATTCGTACCGGGGAGCAGGTGACTACAAAAGTAAGGCCTGTTCTCAATTGCAGTCTGAAAGTTGATCAGACTCCTTCTCTTAACGAGTCTGCTTATCCCGGAGTGAATCTCCTTACCAAACTTGCCGATCTTTTGTTGAAGGTACGGTTGGATGATTATCTCGTCATGAGTGACATCCGTAAAGCATTCCTGATGATCAAACTTAAACAAGAAATTGATCGCAATCGGTTTTCAATCTTGTGGGTTGACGAATCTGGTAAACTTAAAGCTTACAGGTATTCTTCACTTGTTTTTGGGTTCATTTCGTCACCATTCATTCTTAACTATGTAATAAAGCATCATGTAAAACAGTACCCGCAGGACGAGGTCTCCTCAATTCTTTACTCTAACTTCTATGTCGACAACTTGTTCCTAACCGGCAATGACCTCAGTAAGTTGATTAACCTGTACAAGGAGTCGCTCTCTTGCATGGCTGAGGGTGGTTTCCAATTGAGATCTTAGGCCTCAAATAACTCTGAGCTTTCTGAGGTATTCCGACGTGAGGGTGTCGGGGCTGACCACCAGGCTACTGCTGAGAAGTTGCTCGGGTACAACTATTTCCCAAAGAGTGACGCTATCGCTGTGGCTGGTGCTGCCTTTAGCGAAAACCCTCAATTCTCAAAGAGAATCATCTTGTCGGAGATATCTAAAATTTTCGATCCCTTGGGCCTATGTTCTCCTGTCACTGTGAGAGGTAAGCTTCTGATGAAGCGCATTTGGGAGAGCAAGGTTAGCTGGGACGAGCCTCTTTCCGAGGAGATAATCTCTGATTGGCTTCAACTAAAGCATGACTTGCAGACTCTGCCAGAGGTGCAATTTGATTGCAAGCTGGCGCGAAAAGGTGAAGAGGTTTCACTGGTGTTGTTCACCGATGCTTCCAAACAATTTTATGGCTTCAATGCCTACGTTGTTTCTGAAAGTGAAACCGAGCCTCGTGCAAAGCTGGCATTTGCTAAAGTTAAGAATGCACCTTCTAAGAGCAAGTCTTTGCCTACACTTGAATTGATGGCCGTGTTACTTTGTCTTAAATGTCTTGATACTTTGCTTACTGCCTTTTCTGATCTCAAAATTAAAAGTATCACTATTGGTGTAGACGCACAAATTGTTCTTTCATGGGTCACTTCCGGTAAAGTTAAAACTAAAAATCTGTTCGCTAGAAATAGAGTAAATGACGTGTTGTCTGTACTTCAAAGCTTGAAATCTGAAAGAGGATTTGAGTGTAAATTTAAGTATGTGCCCACTGGCATGAATCCTAGTGATTTGCTCACTAGGGGATTAACTTTGAAGGATTGGACCAGCAACTTGAATTTTTGGAAATTCAGTCCTTCTTTCCTTAACTTGAAACCTTTGCTTTGGCCTGACGCTGAGCTTGGGTGTTTGTCTTCTCAAAGTAAAATTTTGACTAACCTTGGAAAAGCTAATTGTAAAGAACCATTATTTCCTTTGAATCGCTTCTCATCATTCAACAAACTTGTATCAGTAACTGCCCTTGTGCTAACTTTTGTGCGTAAATTACGTAAACTTCAGTGTGAAACTTGGGGGTCAGTTCAACTCTTAACGCTATACGTAATGCTGGGTTCTGGATTCCCAAGGGAAGAGCCACTGTCAAGAGCATCATTTCAAAGTGTATCTTATGTAAGAAACTAAATAGTTTGTCATTCAAATATCCGAAAGTAACAGACTTTGTTGGCGATAGAGTAAACTTTGCCAAGCCATTTCAGCATACTGGTGTTGACTACACAGGTCACATTTATGTCAAATATGGTGATACTATTGTCAAAATGTACATTCTTATTTTCACCTGCCTGAATGTTCGAGCTATCCATTTGGAGCTGTTGCCCAGCATGTCCACTTCTGATTTTCTGATGGCTTTTGTGCGCTTCACTAATCTGCATTGTATCCCTAATAATTTGTATTCAGATAACGCAAGCACTTTCTTGCAGGCTGGAGAGTTGCTGGGTGGATCATCCATAGATAATGAATTTAACCAATTCCTGTATAAACATTGCATTAAACACATCAAAATTCCTCTTTACTCAGCTTGGGTTGGTGCCGCGTGGGAGCGTCTCATTAGAGTCGTCAAGAGCTGCTTCTACAAGACGGTTGGGAGGCGTAAGCTGGAGTATTTTCAAGTATTGACGCTGTTGAGTGATGTCACCAACTCAGTCAACTCCCGGCCCCTAACCTACGTAGACAGTGAAGACGCTGGGTTCCATGCTCTCACCCCCAATTCATTCCTTAAACTGGAGACCGGGCGGAGTCTGGTATTGCCACCTGGAGATGCGTCTCTGGGAAGCGACCGTAGAGTCTTGGTGGCTTCACTCGAAGGCAGAGAAGAGCTGTTTGATACCTTCAAAGAGCAGTGGTACAGCGAGTACATCCTGTCTCTAAGGGAGGCTGATCGTGACCGCTTCGAAGCCTCGTGGAGCGATAACATCAAAGTTGGAGACGTTGTCTTAATTTCTGCTCCTGGTAAAAGTCGTCCTTTTTGGTCGATGGGACGAGTTGTGGAGCTGTTGACTGGTCGTGATCAGAAGACCCGCTGCGTCAAAGTCATGAAACCTGACCGATCGGTTGACGTCTTTTCCATTAACCTTCTTTATCCGCTGGAACTCTCCGCGGATGTCGTAGCTTCGGCGTCTGGGACTGGACCAAGTCCAGCTCGTGCACCTACCGCCTCTAACGAGCGCCCTAAGAGAGCGGCTGCTGTTGAATGTGGTAGAAAATTAAAGCTGTGCAATTAAAATTGCACTTTCTTGCCGCCCGGAGTGTGTTCGAAATTTCCACATTCCTTAGGATCTAAATTGGTTCTTTTTCTCCATGCTTATCGTTAGGCATGGGTTTGTAAATAGTAAGAGTTGGCTGTAAGACTTCGTGGTGTAAATATCACATTAATGTTGCTCCGTTAGGAGTGTATAAAGCCATTTCTTCCTAATTGCTATTTATTATTTTGAGTGATCACTCTTTGTTTTTCGTTTTATTTATTTTCGTTTATTATGCATGTTCGTGCTTTCTTTGATTAGGATAGGACCGACTCCAGTGTTGAATTTGGGCTTTGCCTTTTCTTGTGGTATGACCACTTTAACTTTTGAGCTTCGGCTTTTTACTTAAGATAAATATTTGTTCCTAATCTTTTGGGAAGGCTTAATGTTTTCCTAAGCTCAACTTGCTAGTTAATTATTGGAGTCTGTCCTCCCTTTCTACTGTCATAATTTCCCTTTACATGGCCTATTTACATGCCTCTTAAAGTTGCAGCTTAACCGCTTGGTGGCTAAAGATTTTAAGGTGGGTCCATGGCTGTTATAGTGACATATTCCGTCTTACATTTATGTTCATAAAACTTATGATTTGATTACCAACTATCTAACTGCTATTTATTCTTTCTATTCGATAGAATAACTGCGTATCCGATGGGGAACAACATTCATTCTATTTTGGGTGACTTTCAGCGTCACTGTTTGCGATAGAAAGAGCCTTTCGTACATCACGGTGTGTAAAACTTGTAATGATTTGCTTATATGATTGTATTAGATTGAAACTCATTGCGACACTGGAATACTACTACTGGATTGCAGAATTGTAAAATTTATGAGATATTTCTTGCTTCTACAGTTATGTTGGGCCGGGTTTATTCGTCGGCACAACGGCGATAAACTGTATTGGAACCGCTGCCAAGCGTCACTTTTCGCGACTTGGTTCAATTCTAGATTTTTGTGAATACGTCTGCTTTCTCAAGATTTGGACCAGTCATCTCCGGAATAAAAGTTCCATTTTGTTTACTGTTTTTTGTATCAAGCCTAACATAATTTTTTCACCACCAAGTCTTACAGCCAACTCTTACTATTTACAAACCCATGCCTAACGATAAGCATGGAGAAAAAGAACCAATTTAGATCCTAAGGAATGTGGAAATTTCGAACATTATGAAATACAAATTGCGCTATGTATCCTCCACATATGAATGAGCACAACTCTACGGTAACAGAAACCAGTATTTAAGTATATCATCCGGATGATTACTTTGTTATTTGACACTTTTTAACAAAATATTAATCAAACTTTGCGTTTTGTTTTCCTATCATGATATTTCATGGAAATTCATAAAAATATCATAAAATTACTGCCTTAAATTTTACTGACACACTGTTAGCTCAAACGTAAATCATAGATTTATGATTATATATAGGCGGCGCTTAACACTTGTGACCGTTGCGACGAGTCTGTAGTGGTGGGCACTGGGCGGCGCTTCTTACATGACCGAGCAATATATTTACCTTAAGATATATTACAGGACGGAGCAATATATTTACCTCAAAATATATTACATGACCGAGCAATATATTTACCTTAAAACATATCACATGAAGGAGCAATATATTCACCTCAAAATATATCACATGACCGAGCAATATATTCACCTTAAGATATATTACATGACGGAGCAATATATTTACCTTAAAATATATTGCATGACGCAGCTGTACATCTGTCACCTCAGTTTTAAAAGGAATGGCGTTTGCCTCCTCCAGCCTGTACGACACCAGCTGATTTTAATGTATTTTAAGATATTCATCTTGTCATTGCAACATCGATTACAATTGGTATAGTGAATATTGTTCAAAATATAACAATGATTGTATAGTAAATTTGAAGCTGGGAGCTGCACAATTTATTGCACAGTCAAAAGTTTCAATGAACAATAATTGGTAATCTATGAGGCGGAGAAGAAAAGGTTTTACATTGAAAAATCTTTAGTTAATTCCCGCTTACTTATGTTCGAGATCGAAAGTAGTAGTTATTGGACAATTTATTATATATACGAGTACATTAAATGTTGATAAAAATTTAGTAATAAGTCAAGAGAGTGATCGCGTTATTGTTGTATTCGATATTAAAAATAACATATTGATATAAGTAAGTTATCTATATTTAACGCAATTGGCATCGATATCTGTCCTTGAAACGAATGTTGACATTCTTCTATTGAGAAATTATAATATTCACTTTATGTAGTGAAGTAGAAGCAAGACTGCTATTGTAGGCAAGTCGTTCAACAGGCGGCGTAGAATTTCAGGTAATTCAGTAAAATTTCAGTAGAATAGAATTTCAGTAAAATGTAATAAAAAATATGACATTCATTCATTTATTAACTCCTTACCTTGAAAAAAATATACTCTTGGCTAAAAAAATTTATCACTGACGTGGAGAAAAATATTTCATTGACATAAATGTCACGTTCATTTCAACATGTAAAAAAAGTATCAATATATCGTTGACCGAGGAGCTCGAGATAGTAACTTCAAACTGTAGAGTAAATATAACGTTAAATGCGTATCGCAGCATGCAAATTATCCAATTACCTGCTAATTCCGGAAAATTCAAGTCCGGCGGCACCGACGCACCCGATGCGAGCGCAGTTGAAGTTTGGATCCTCAACGAGGGAAGCTCTGCCAAATTTATTTCTGTGTTTCTATGTGTCAAATGTGGAATATGTGCATTTAATGGGTGATTGAGGTTTTATGAACGAGCAGAAACTGTTTGTGAGAATATCAGTGATTACTTTTTATTCCTGAAGTTGTTGTGTGAAGTTGTACGTCAGTTAGTCGAGATGGGCGCCTCTAAGCCAGCGGCATGTCACAGAATGTCCGTTATATTTGAATTATTTGTTCAATCCATTAGTGTTTGATTTGAATTAACTAAGTAAATCAACTAATGCAGCGTCATCTCACAGCAATAATTGTCGTGAGCTAGATCTAGTAGTTTCTGTTCTGCCCTAAAAATAGAATTCTTGTGTAAAATGCTTTGTAATTGCTAGTTGCTACAGATGATCATTAAATCATCGCAAATTGATTTAGCTTCTTTTTTAAGCTAATGCGTGTCAAGTGTGCTTTGGTTGTATGGGAATATCGTCGATTTGAGAATGAATGGGATTGTCAGAAAAGCTGCCGTGCTGTGAAGTGAAATGGTCTATAGTTCCAGTCAAAATACTTTATTCCATGTTTGCCGGTATCGTGCGGTTTTCCTAGTAGTAAAAGCTATTCGTTAGAAAAGCATTGAAGAATTGAAGTTCACGTTCGTCTTTCTAGAGTCTCAAAGACCGTAAGTTAAAGAACCTGCGAATTTACCCTGTGTCATATTAATTACCGTGGTCAGCCAGATTGGAAAATTAGGCCAGTAACCCAGCAGTAGTTAATTACCATTAGCAGTCGGCCTGTATGTAAAAGGTGCCAGTAACCTAGTACTCTAGCAGTAGCCTGCCTCTGTCAGATCCCAAAAGGTCACCTTGTTATTGCTAATATTGAATAATTAAATCTGTCGGAATCATTTGTGGTCGGCTAGATGTAATTCCTCTACCGTTCATTATTGCCCGCTCCATTCTATGTGCCTTATAATGATGCTATAAGCTATGAAATCAGTTTGGGTCATGAGACAGACCGATGAGATTAATTAGATTAAGTAGAGTACGATTGACCTCGTGTCTTGAATGTTGCCCTTGCTTGAAATTAGGCAGCTCCCTTCTGGAACTGTGTTCATAAAACTAATTATCATCCTAGATGATCATGGTGTTTTGTATGTTCGATTTAAAGCAGCTTCCTTCTGGAACTGCGTTCATTAAACTAATTATTATATGATCACGGTTTCTTGAATGTTCACACTCTTATAGAATCCTGTACGTGCAGGTTTCGACGCCGAAATATAAGGAAACACGGATCAAGTCTGCGAACTTCATTTCCCCCTTATTAAATCGTGCGTCACAAAGCTCCCGAACTAATTGGATTACTTTAGGAGCGAAACAATAAAAATTGTTAGAAATTTCCACATTCCTTAGGATATAAATTTGTTCTTCTTCTTCATACCTTTTGTTGGGTATGAATTTGTAAATAGTAAGAGTTGGCTGAAAGACTTGTTGATGGAAACATCCGTTTAATTTTGCTCCGTAGGAGTGTATTAAGCCATTCCTTCCTAATTTCTGTATTTAAGTTTATTCTTGCGACGTATTCTTCACTGTATTATAAATTTTTGTGTCGTCAGCATACATCGAGCAAACGCTAGACATAATGTTACTTACTTAAACGCTATAAATGTTACTTTCAAAATATTATTCACAGTAATTTCAAAAGCTTCATCTACAGTAATCGAAAACAGTTTTATTTAGCAGCAAAAAAACTTTTATCTGGGCTAAAACAGATATTCACAAATAACTTGAGTACGCAAACTCTTAGCAAATCCGTACACTTCATCCCAGTGGAACAATCGACCGGCGGTAGAGAACACGGACCAATGATACCTTGATTCCTCCACCACACCTCTGTGTTTCCCTCGCCAGCTGCAGCTCAGCTGTTTTTCCAGCCACCACTGACCTACTATAAACAAGAATTCAGTGGTTACCTACTTAGAAGAATTTAAACACAATACAGGCTCTCAGGCCCAACGGCCGTCCTCGAGGTTGACCTGTGGCTTTAAGTCTACCCAGTGTAGACACCCCAAAAAGAAGAAGAAGAAGAAGCTGTTGTAATTGTTTGCATTTGCTTGGACCAGTAAGTAAAACTGTAAAAGTAGGTGTAATATTAGGATCAGTATGCATCTCAATTTAATGTACCAGGATTGCGTTAGTAAAGACTGTCACTGGTTGTTTGTGAATCAGTCTTAAATTTTTCTTCCTTCTGCTTCAGAGAAAAGCCCAGATGAGTTATGTTTTCTTTTCTGTACAGTTACTACACTCTACAGTAAGCTAACCATGTTTATGATGTTACATTAAGGTGGTGCTTGAGAGCCGCGAGGTCCCGGACAGGTTCCTAAGCAGTTCTTCACTAATTAGGGTGAACTTTACTCCACTCGTAAATGAGATGACGATCTGAAATTTTCCATACTTATCTAGGTATTTATTTACAATCCGTGTAAAGGAACAAAAAATATGTAAGCTTTGTATAACACCAGTTATGATAGATGATAATTTTGTACCTCGATGTTAANCTTCGTGACGCGTCTGCCCAAGTCTATGAGTGTAGAGCAGCCAGA